TGATGGGATTTTCTCCTGTGGTGTGCAGACGGTATTTTGGTGTTAACAGATTTCACTTTATATTCAGTTTTTAAAAATAAGTGTATGCTGCTGATAGTTATATTCCTACCCTTTGACCTCTGGTAAGGGTTTGTTCTGTCATCATTTTCTCATTTTTAATTCATTCGGTCACTGGATTTCCAGAATAACTTCACTCTGCTGGGTTTGTTTTGTTTTCCGGTACCTCTGATTTCTCAAGGTCATTCTGGATACTTCTCAAGGTCACACTTCCTCAGAAGATATGAAGGCATTTGATTAATTGCCTGTGGGTCACTCTGCATCCTGGTGTATATTTCTGAGAGGACTGAATCTTAGAAATAAAATCTAATTTGCTTTACTGAGATACTCCAGTTCTCTTTCTAATCCTGTCCAAGGCAGCTGCCCCTCTTCCCACCCTGGTCCCATTTAACAGCAAATCATTCTTGTCATTGCTAACATAACTAATTGTTATAGATTTAAGAACAGCCTTTGGTGTATTCTATTTGTTAGGAATTAGAGAATTCAGTCTAATCTTTATAACAGTCTGTGCTACCCCACTAAGCACACCATGCTCAAATTCTATCCTCTAAGTTGAACAAAGAGCTTCTTTGTTTTACCAGGGGCCGGATGCCTGTGTAGCTTGTCACCCGGCTATGGAGGCTGTGGGGAAAGCTGTGACTGCAGGAGAGTGAGCTTCAGTCAACAAGGATCTTGTTGAAGTTTTACAACCATGGAGGAACTAGATCGAGAAGGAGTTCAACGTGGGGCCCCAGGGATAATGACTGCGTATCAGGGCACAGGGAAGCAGTTAACACACCGAAGTAACTCACTTCTTCCAGGAAAGTGCAAACCGTTTCCAGTCCTCTCTACCAAAGTAGTGTCTGAATACTATTAGAAAGAATAACAATAATAATCACCTTCATTCATTCATACCTTATCAGCTTTCATTTTAACTTTGATAAATAGCGAGGCTCTCATCAAGTAATCTTATCATGAACCTGTTTTTGTTCTGAACACTGTATTTCATTTTCATTTTATTTTCTTTTTAATTTTTCATCTTGAAAACACAAAAAAATCAAACCTACAGAAAAGTGGAAAGAATAGTGAAATAAACTGAAATACCTTTCACTGAAGGTTCACAGATGTTAGTCATTTGCCACATGTGTGCCAGCCTTCAGTAGATAGTCAGATATAGATACAGGTAGGTCTATTGTTATAAAAGCGAAACTATACCACACACACACACAAAGACATACACAATACAAATATATTACTATGCATCCTTCTTCTGCTGAGCCATTGACACTTTCAACAGGTTTCCTGAAACAAGGACACAGTTTTAACACCACAATGTAATGACCACATTGTGGAAATGTTAAATGCAAACAATACCATTATCTAACATAGAGTCCTTATTCAAATTCACCAATTAGCTCCATGATGTACTTTCTGGCATCTTCTTCCTGAGCCAGCATCCAACCCAGGATCACACATCGAATTCAGTCTGAGGTCTCCTTTCATCAGTACCAGCCCCTCGGTCTTCCTCTCTCTTTCGTGCTATTTACTATCTTAAACATGAAAGTAATATTTGTCTTGCAAGTCACATTTGCTAACAGGATATTTTGGGATGTGATATGCATGTGATATGCATATAACAGGATGTGATATGCATGACCTTAGGTTTCGTTTAGAAAATCTTACTTCATATGATGGTGTTAGTCTATCTTCTGAATGGTGGTATTCACTCACATTCTGTATGATAAAAATCAAAAACAATTAGCAGTGTGAATTATTGTTTTCTCTGTACATGTCAATGGATCTTTTATTAACTTTTAATCATGTAACAAATTTAAGTGTGATTTTCATAACAATTTTGAAAACTTTTCATGGCCATGTTGTTTAAATTCCCCACTAAGACAAGCATCTCAACAGAGAAAACAGGCAAAGAGCCATGAACAGGAAATTTATAGGAGCGACAACCCAAAGACCATTGCACATGAAGAAATGTTCGATTTCTTCAGTAATTAGAGAAATGCAAATTAAGACAACACCAAGCTATTACTTTGCACCTGTTGTATTGGGGGGGCATGAAAAGCAATTCGATGGCAGAAATCCCCACCTCGGCTGACTGGACCAAGGACAGGGACCTGACGCAGGGCGGTCCAGGGACAACGCTGCTGGCACTTTGTGAGGTTTCTCATCCAACCCAGAAAGGTGAACTGGAAAACCATATTTGTTTCTTGGGAATCTATAAATAGCAATTTAAAAAAAACTAACAAGTTAGGAAGGAGAAGACACTTGATCTTAGCCAAAAGGCCAAGAAGCACAGGAGGGAGAATCCGGGTCAGAGACATGAGGAAGGGCAGACGGCAGCAGGATGACATGCAGAGGGGCTGGGGTGGGCGAGGAAGCCCCAGGGCATGGAAAGAGCGGACCCCCTCACTGCATGAAATGGAACCATCAATACAGGTGGCACAGGGGACACTGTGGGAGCACAGCACTTCATCCCATTTCCCGCCAGCTCCCCCCTTCCTAGTCCCGGATAGGCTGGGTGTCTTCTAGTTCCATATTTTGGGGTGTAGGGGAGAACGGCAGTTGGGGCTGTAGAGAAAAGAAAGCGGCCTTCAAAAATCCCAAAGGGAAATGACTTCAAAGATTCTTATACCCAGCCAAACAATCAAGTACGAGGGTAGACGTTCTCAGGCACAAAGGAGACAAAAAGCCAGCAGCACACAAAAAATGAACTAATGATGGGTCTTGATAAACCTGCCAACATTTAATCAAGAAGACTTAAAAGTCTTTGAAGTTATAATATCAAAAAACGCATGATATTGAAGAAGCGACTTAAAACACAGACTTCACACTATCCAATCATTTGGCACCTGTTCAGACAGGGTTTTAGGTCCTCATTCAAAATGGATTGAGAAATCAGACTACTCCAGGCAAGCAAGACAAATGGACACGGACCAGGTTGGCATTCAGGGAGCTGACAGAGCAGCGTGGAGTCAGACATGAAAGGAAAACTGCTAATATGCCCACGGGGTGAGCAGCGCTGCCACAGGACAGGCAGATCCCAGGTAAAGCGGAAGCACAGAGGAGGCCACTGCAGCCTCCGCCCGCCCGAGGGTGCCCTTAGTGAGGTGGTTGCTTTGAGCACAGTGTTGAAAGATACATATACTCTATCCCTCGCTTCCCATGTTACAGCAGTGCTGAATTACATCCCCATCCTTGCTCCCTTGCCTTGCAGATATTCCTTCTGGCAAAAAGCTTCCCTGCCAGACCCCATCCACCCAGCACCTTTTACCTCCATTGCAGCCTGGCTCCTACCTTATATGATTTCACTCATAGGTGGAATCTAATGGACAAACCGAGCTAACAAGCAAAACAGAGACAGACCCATAGATAGAGAGCAGGCTGACGGCTCTGTAGCAGGGTTACAGGGTGGAGGGATGGAGCACGAAAGACAAAGGACTCGTGGACATGGACAACAGTGTAGTGACTGCGGGGAGGAGGGGAGGGTAAGGGTGGGGGTGGAAGAGGATATAAGGGGGATACATGGTAATGAAAAAATACAATAAAAATAAATAAATTATGAGGAAAAGGATAGACTATGAGGCTGAAGGCAGGGGCAAGCTCAAGTGTAGCAAACTCAGAAGAACTCAAGGGAAGGTGACTTAAATGACAACAGGCAAGCAGTCTTGAAACGGTATAAAGTGGAGAGGAAGGTCCACAGAGGAAAGGCACAGGCGGGCACTCTCTTCAGCAGGTGTGCTGAGTCTGAACCAGCCTGAATCTACTAAACGGGATTCCAATTGGAGAGGGAAGGAAAATGGAATGCCCAGACCTGGGCCCACGGGATTCTTCTGCATACTCAAGTTGGGAAATTGCTACCAAGGGCAGGAGCGCTACCACAGGGAGGGAAATGCAGAACTTAACAAAAATGCTCCGTCAGTGACTCCTAGCAAATGAAGCATCTATGTGGACAAGTTCAAAGTGCTAACACAATTATTTCAAACAGGTTGCTAGAAACGAAAATAAACCAGAGGGTGTCTTGGGAACACATCAAAGAGAATATGGCTAGTGACACACAGTGGTAGAGAAAAAGACTGGGGAACATTTAAGCAGCTAGCGGTGTTAAACACGGGAAAGCCCCTGAATTGGTGGAAGTCTCCGGAAGGGTGGGATGTGGTCCATCTTACAGAGCAGTTAAAACTATTCCTGCCTGGGAGGTAATGTTTCAAGCAAAGGATTTTTAATTTGGCTTGGATTTTTAAAAGTATTTTTAAATTACAAATAAATGATAACGGAGTTAAAGAATCATTTTGTGCAATAGAAGACAATAGGCATTTTTTAAATTCTGCTTTTCATCATGTGATGCAAAGTGCATTAAAATAATTACATCAATGGAATCCATAGGTAACATCTATTAACATAGTCTATCTGCTTTGATTGTTATATGGGCCGCATAAAACGAGTCAGTGCTTTGCTACAGTAAGTGGCTGCAGGATTACCATTTAAAAAACATAAAGTAAAACTGCCCGTGTTTGTCACTCTCGGTGAGGCTTATCCTAGGACCTGAAGGCAGCACCTGTTTTGACAATGGTACCCATTAGTGTCTCTACAGTGATTTGCATATTATTAGCCTGGAGGCACCGCATCTATCTACTGAGCAGGGCTTCCCTTTCTGAGATTCACATGTAGCCCTGGCTCCTACAATGTAAGTTCCTCTTAAAAGCAGCCAACTCAGAGAGCACTTGTACTACCGGTGAAATATTCAGAAAGAGAACAGAAGCTCCCCTCCTAAAGAAAAAAAAATGATGAGTTTGATGAAAAGAAATGAACAAGCCGTGTCCGTGCGCTGCACATGACCAGCCATGCCTGCTGTCTAGGCCGGCTGTTGGCTGTTGCTATGACTACGCAAAGCCGGTGGAACCCAATGGGCTGTCTGCAGCAGCCCCGAGAGGACCAGCCATTTTACTTATGGAAAACAGTATGGCATATTCTGCTGGGCGTTAGTTGCCCTGCCAGAGGCATTTTTTAAATCTCTATTCAGAGCAGAGAGGGGCGATGGGCATGTTAGTATACAATGATCAGAGCCGAGCACGCCCGGCAGGCTGGGGACGGCTGTCCCCAGGAGCTGATTTGAGAAACTGGAATGCAGCGAGATAATGCTGCATATCTGCTATCAGGCAGCAGAAAAGGGTTTTGTCTTGGGAAGGCAAGCCTTCGCTGCAACGTTATCTCCGCAGCTCTCTAGCTGCTTAGGCTGAAAACTAGTGACCCGCGAGGAGGGTGTCAGTGTCTGGGAACACACACAGGGGTGCTGCTGTGCGCGGCTGCTGCCTGACAGCCGCAGGGCTGGAGAAGCAGGTGTGTGTGTGTGTGTGTGTGTGTGTGTGTGTGTGTGTGTGTGCATGCGCGCGCGCCGCTGGGCACTGGACTGGAACCCAGGCGGACGCACTCAGGTTTACCTGCTTCCTGTTCACAGATTGTTGGCTCAGAGAGCATCTGCCCGCACGCTGAGGCCGCGGAGGAGAAGGAGGCCCCTGGGTGCCACTGGACTGACCGAGGTAAGCTTTTCTGCCTTTCTTAAAGCACAGCAGAATCAATAACTCGGGGCGAAACTTAACCTCAACCATTTATACACCTCGTGTTATCCGATTCACCAAGTACACATGTATACACACACACACACACACACACACACAGACTTCCACAAATTAGTGTCCGAGGCACAGTCTTGCTTCAGGGAGTTTAGGTCCTAGAAATCCTATGATAAAACAAGCAAACAAAAAAACATCACTGACGTGCCTTGGGGGCTTGGATAAGTATTGATCATTTTAACAAACCAGTAATGGCTTGTCATTCTGGATAGTCTTCACAGCCAGCCACGTTTCTCTCCCACAAACAATGGATTCTTTTATAAACTACATGCTGTGCAATATTGAAAGAATTATGCGGAAAATCAGAGGCTTGAAAACTGTGAAGCATTTCTGTTTAAGCCTCAGCATTGATGTAGTTAACTCTCAACACACCTATATAGACCTTTAACTTAAGGAATTCCGTTCCGTTTGTAGATAATAATAGCCGGTGTGTTTTGCACTTTCTTCTTCTGAACTGCGAGGCTCGGTGTGCTGTGCAATTTGGTTGGGGGCAGTGGTCCAGCAAACAGTGTAGGTGCTCACGCGTCCCTCCCAAGGATCGGCACGCCAGGCTGGCCCAGAGCACAACACCCCCATTGTGTGCCCCTGCTGGGAATCCCGGGAAAGAAAGGGAATGAAATCTGCACATTGAATTCAGGCACAGCTTCGGTCCGTGGTGGTAAAACTTCTTTTATTGCTCGGTTTTTCTCACAAGCAGATTGGTTTCAGGGATAGAGAGTGAAACCAAAAACAGCACATACCTTCTCCAAATGTCGGGCTCTTAGTATTTGTGGCGATATTTGCTGTCAGTTGCTATGGGGTGATAGCTCGGACTTTGAACAGTAGGAATTACCCCTCAGTGAGTATTTCTCTGATATGTGGTCTCTTAGGAACAAAGCTGTTCCCGTGAATTGAAATTGGTCAGTCAAATCGAAACCCTGGGTAAGGAAATGAGCAAATAATGATGAAATTCTGTTTTAGTAGCATTTCGCATTTACCCAAATCTCGTCTATTTTTGGTCTGCCAGAAACATCAGATTATCTACTTTGCTATTGAAAATGTATAAGGAAAATATTTGGTTAAAATATTTTAATAAAAGCCCCTACTAAAAATTGAATCTACCACAAAATATAAAATAAATAATAAATAGTACATCTTAGATTTACTTCTAAGAAATATTTTTATTTGCTACTTTTTCCCCAAGATATGAGTGACATGGGAGGTGCCTTTTAATTTAAATATAATAATATCATTTTTATTGCTACACATGAGCACACATCACCTGGTTCACAGATTTGTCAGTATGCGCTGAGGTAAGAGAATTATAAAGCACAGGGCAAACATTTTCCAAACTTCTGTTCTAAATGTCACCAAGGTCGGCATAGAAAGACACAAACCAGTAAATCTCAGTCTAGAGAATCATGGCCAAGTGTTTCACCAGGAGAACAAACAGGAAGATGCCTATTTCGGTGTATGAGACAGTGGAGGGCATGAGGTGGTTAATCAATGGCAGTGTACTGCCCTTAGGTTCAACTTAAAAAAAAAAAGCTATACAAAAAGACTTAGTTTTGAGACAAATTCTATAAATAAAAGTATCAGCCCTCGAAATGGTTGTGATAAGGAATGAAATCCCAACTGAATCCCCTTCGGAGCTTGACGCTGCAGAAAGAGTTCTCAGAATTAACAGAGGGTACAGACCTGCAGCAAGAAAAACGAGCTCTTCTTTCGAGAGTTTTGGAAGAACAAGGTGAGGAGGTCCTAAGGCACACCCGCCTGCCGCATGACACACAAACTTTACCTCTGGGTTATTGTTCTGCATTAATAACCTCTCAAGGTGATATGGTGTGAAAGATTAGCATTTTAAGTCCACTTGTGCATAATATGTCAACATAGTTACTAATTCAACAACTTTCAGAACCAGATGCAGAGCTATAAGCCCTAAAATTCAAGGCTTTGCATCTTGGCTTTTATCTATTTATCTACCTTTTTTTCTGCCACTTTCCAACTCACCCACCAGTGATGTCAAATGCTATGTAATTTCCCAAACACACCACACCAAACTTCCGCAGAACCACTCTGGAAGTTTTCTCCCTGAAGCTCCCCCTGCTTTGTAACCCCGCTCGGCTATCTCCCCAGACACTTCCTCGCCTTCCCCTTTGGCTCATCTTCATCTTCTGTCTACACTCCATCCACTGCACCACACTGCATAGGTCTCTGCCCACGGGCGCCCCGCGTTCCCTGATGTCTGTGCGTACTTTGTCCAATGTCCAGAACTTGGCACTCAGGCATGTACTGGTAACCTCGGACTTCATTGCTGTCTCACCAGGAACGGTAACTGCAGGCTTGATCTTGAAATAGAAATTCTATTATCTCTTAGACTGCCTTTTATCAGAGAAAACTCAAAACATTTATAAACAGCAATGAGGCTTACATTTGCTTGATATGAAAATACGACTTTAGGGGCACAATTTGAAAAAAGCTATAAATGTCCTACATCAGAATTTTGAGGGAAAATTTTGCAACCTGTAAGTTTTAAAGCAAAACTGCTTGAGAGCTTTATTATCTAGAAGATGCTGTTTTTTAAATTTACAGTTGTTATGAAATTTGCAGGGGAAAATAGAGATATAGCAAGTTATCCCTATTAGAAATATCTAAAATCAGATCATTTAAAATTAATGTTGAATTGATGACAGTTAATAGCTGATTATAACAGAGATACTTATGAAATTGTTTTTCACGGTGAAGCCAGACTAAAGTAGAACTCGTGAACTAGAAAGAGACCAAGTAATTGAAAAAAGTCTATAATCGCAGAAGTTCTTTTAATTTTCCTAAATAGACCCGAAAGGTTACTAGTAATCCCTAGTTATATGATACTGCATTACACCTTGAGTTCCTCTCGGTAACTCTCTGTACACAGACATACGTGTAGCTACGGAGACTTCCCTCATGTTTTCTCAATTCGATGGCATGCATGACTGTTATTTTTTTGGTCAGCTTAAATTTCTATAGCTTTTTATAGAAAAATTGCCACAATGCTGCAATAAAAAATAAGGATGGATCAGACTAAGAAGTTTAAAATGCCCAAGTGTTTGTAATTAAAAAACAAATGTTTAGGAAATCACTTCAATTCATATTTATACATATTTTTACATATTCTGGCATTCACGTGTAGAATAAAAATAAGATAAATAGCATCTCTTAGTTATCATACTTCCTTTCACTGTTTATTTTGGCTATTTTCCAGCTGATTTTAATATATAGCATGCTAAATAAAAAAGAACTGAAGTTGAAATTGGTTCTGCTCATCTTAAAGACTAATCATTTTTAATCAATTACTTTAAATTGTACATAGTTATTAGATTCTAGGAAATATGACTTTATAGTATTTCTGCATTATTTTAAATATCTTATACTTTAAGTAAGTTATATATTTTGATGATCTAAGTTATGTAGTAGAACATATTTGATATTCAAGTTAAATATGTGCTCTTGTTACATTTTATAATGAAGTATTATATGACTGTTTTTAGATAATTTTCTAAATGTTTCTCAAACTAGCAATGCAATTGTGGATATTTCCATTAAATTCTAAAATACCACTGTGAAAAATTACATGGAGATTTTCAAAATCTTTTTACCCACGTCGATTCTGAGAAAGTGGGGTACATTTAGCTATAGGGAAACACTGGCGGAACTACTGAGTTCTAAACATTGACAGACGAGAATCTCATTCTCGCTTAACTTCGATTGACATGATTTTACTTGAATCAATGACAGAGATTCAGCAAAGGCAGGTCTGTACCTTGAGTCCTGGTAGCACAGCATGGCTCCGTGAGCCTGTGTGACACTTTGCTGTCCCCTAGCATACAAAACAGAAGTCTACTCACTATAGCCCGAAAATACACTGAATCCCTCTTCCCCACTCAGGTCAGGTATGCTCAGATACAGCCTTAATTCTGCACCTTTAAACACCATTATTTGAGCAAAAAAACCACAGAAAGTTTTCACTTTTCCTGAATTTAACCAGGGGTCTTCAGTGAACATTTTTTATCCCAAAACAAATCAAATCTAGCAATATTCTCATTTCAATTCCTAAGTAATCTGTATATTCATGCTATAATTTAAGGGAAATTTATTTTTAGTAAAGAACATTATTTGAAAATTTCTGTGATATTTAAGGGTTTTTTTAAAACCATGACATACTTTTCAAATCTTTGCTTTCTTAAAATTTAACCTGGATATTCAATTCTTCTCTCTCTCCTGTGAGACATTTTTTCATAGTTGGTCTAAATTGCATATTAAACATACTTTCTTCTGATGAATCGTACCCACTGCTTTAAGTAAGAGAGTTAGTCCAATCAGTATAGAAATCATCCTTTCAGGGTTTCTTGTCCTAGTAAATTTTGTCAGGAATGGCTGACTGTGAGGGGCTGTATGAACCTCTGGAGCACCAAATCTGCTGTTCCACTCAATTCACCATCCGTTAGAGATGACTATGGTCTTAAGAATCAACCATAAGGAATCCAAAAAACTAGAGCACAAATGGGCCTCTAGCCACACACCACTTGTAAAAAAAATCGCTAGAGTACAAGTAGGATGAAGAAAGCAGGTTTTTTTCCACGCACACAAAAAACAAATATGTAAATGACACAATCGAAGGGATTATTTGCTATATTGGAGAAAACCCATCAGCATTAATGTTTATTCTGTCCTCTAAGATGCTGAAGTCCCTCTATCTACTTCTAGTCAAAGGCTGTTAGCTTCTTCAGAGACACGTGGTCCTCTAAGAAGGTAGGGAAAGTAGCCCCCTTGATAAGAAGAAACACGCGTCAGCTTTTGACTGTAGGGAATCGTCCATCCTCCACCCACCAGCACATCAGCTGCCTCTTTGACCAGCACTACTATCAGATCTGAGTGCATTGTAAGAA